GCGCCAAAGAGTCGACCCTATAACTTGAGAGTCGACTCTCACAAGCAAAGCAGTCGACTCTATAAAATAATAGTCGACTTTGACTAGAGAAGAGTTTATTTCCCTGCAACCATAAGAGTCTACTCTTTATCAGAGAGTCGACTCTGATCTGCACCTAAATGTTTCGCTACTCTCTGGAATTTGGGAGTCGATGCTTTGTATTATAGAGTCGACTCTGTATTGCACCAAAATGTTTCCTGCTCTCTGAAATTTGGGAGTCGACTCTTTATATGGTAGAGTCGACTCTAGTGCATATAAGAGTTGAATTTACATTCATAGAGTCAACTCTTTACTGGAATTCATAATTATTTTTAATTTTTCGCAGCAACAGTCGAATATATAAGGTAATTATATTAAAAAAAATTTAACATTAACCATTTATAATATGACAATAATTTTACTTTTATTATATGTTATCAATTATATTAAAAGAAAATGTCATGTATAAAATTTAAAAAATTATGCAAACTCATTTAGTTGATAACCAACATTAATATTTAACTTATATATTAATGGTATGTACTAATATTAATTTACATTCCTTTTAACTCGTATTTTTTATCTAAAATATTTGATTTATTTACATTATATTTGATGTATTAAATCATTTATACCATTAATTTTATATTTAGATACATATTACTTCAACTATTGTATTTTTAACTATTAATATTGATTTAAAACAATTGCACCCAAGAATGCAAATCCGAATCTTATATTTTGGGGAGTGTGTATGACCGTCACGTCTATCCTCACGTCCATCCATCTGCTACTTGGAATCTTGACTGCAATATAATTAACTTTCAGCAACAATCATGTTGCTGCTGAAAGCCTCACCCTTTTAGCATCACACTCCATGTTGGTGTTGTAACTTTTCAGCAATATAGTGCATGTTGCTGAAAGGCTCATCCTTTTAGCATCACACTCCATGTTGGTGATGTAAACTTTTAGGCCATCCCGTCTTCTCACACACTCTTTGCTTTCTACACCATTCTTCCCCATAAAACATTGCTGCCATATTTCCTCCCATCTCTACTTCATCTTCCTACCAGAATTTCCCACAATTCGAGAAGGCAATTAAGATTTTCAAGGATTATTTACAGTACAAGCTTTCATATTTTCGTTCATTAAGGTAAGTTTACCATCTTTCTATTGTTTCCTTATATTTTGTCTACCCTCTTTAATCTTATAGTTTAAATCCATTATCTTTTGTATTTATAACCCATTTCTGTTTACTATTTGATAATTTATAATCTACATACTGTGAAATAAACTTCTGCAATTTGCATGTACCATTTCCCAATTGCCCTTCATTTTTATTTTAAGAGCAAGTTTTATTTCTCATTAGTTTTCACCATGATCTTCATTATATTTGAATGTTTTCTTGTATATTATAGTTTTTGCTTTTATTATGGACGAATGAAAATTACATTATTTTTTACTTATTATTGTTTATTATATTATACATAACTTACAGAAAAAAAATAGTAGTTAATACAAATATTATTATATTGTAAATACACATTTGTTATACAAAAATTAAATATTAATATGAAATTTTCGGTTCCCCTTAGATGGCATTTTCAGTAAGTTTTTCATTAGAAATAACGTAATAGTGAAACTCCAAATTTTGCTCCATACATTTAAAGGGTGTGTACACTCTTCATATCATAATTGGTTTATTAATTTATAGTCCCTAAACTATTAAAAAGTATACCTTACTAGTCCTT